TGTACAAAAACCTATTTTCTCTTGCCTTGAAGAGGCATTGTATTGGTACAGAAAAGCAGATGCTGGAAAATTATTCCACTCACACACACCGTACGCATTACGAACAACGGAGTGAACCGTCTTTTTCCAAGGAGGCATCCACGACTTTTTCTGCCACTAGGGCTGCACCACTTAGAAATGAAGTGAAATATTTGACGTATTTAATAGGAAGGGAATTTAATAAATTAAATATGTTAGAAATGTGTAGAGATTAATGTTTCTTTCTGAAATATCAGTTATTATTTGTATTAATTAGATTAGAAACGGATTAACTACTAATATTCCTATAAGTAGAAAACTAAAATAAGGGAGTTAAAGTTTGCAAAAAATTAAAGAGCAAACCAATTGTTTGTATATTTATACACTGAAAATCGATACACATTTATTTAGAACGTAATTTCTTAATAATAATAACATTGTGTGACAAATAAGTTCACCTCACTCCCAAATAGCAACATCTGGTGAGCGTATAATTAATAGGCCTATTACAGCTATATTAATAGTACAGTTGTAGCTAGAATGGATCGGCACGACCGGGGAGGGACCACGCTCTCACAGAATACCAACGTAAAATAGCAGCTGAATTCTGCTGTCTTTCGTTTGGTGAGAGAGAACCTGAGAGTGTAGAGTGTAGAGTCCTCACGACTGACAACGAATCTGCATTTTATTTGCAAACGAAGATAGATGTGGACTGTGTGCTTGTTTGTCACTTTTATCATATAAAAAAGCCCTCCCTTCGTGGTATATCGATGGAATTGGTGGCTTCAGTCTTGCTATCTTTTAGTCTTTTTGTAGGCTGTAAGAGGTGGTTATAATGATGGTACTTTTATAAGAGTATACATTTTAAAACGTTAAACAGGCAGATCTGTTTTCTAAAATCACGACGTGAAGACGATTAAATATCGTGACATATAGAAATTCTGTCAAATTAGGAAAGTTGCGGCAATAAAACAGTGCTGGCGACTGTAATAAAAAAAATATATTATTCATAAACTATGGCAATTTTGTGTAAATGGCTTTTTAAAACGTTTTTATATAAAATTTAGAAAGAAATAAATTTTTATATAAAAAAAAGATTTTATAAAAAATGTTTGTAAACTTACAACAACTTGACACAGTAATAACTTTTTATAAATGAAATCACACAGCGACCGCACACAGGTATTGCCAAAAGCTATTTCCTGTTGATGGAGCCGCCGTAAATGCTTGTACAAACGCAGAAGCACTTAATCATTTTCGCTTATATTTGATTGATGGAACGAAAAGCCATCACGATCGGAGATAACTTTTGGCTAGTATTTATGTTACGCTGAATTCCAATGTTCCGTATTTAAAATTTGTTGAAATACTATAGGCAACATTTTCTAGCCGACTTAAAAAAGGAGGTATACAATTGGACTCAATGTTTTTTTCTTTTCCTTTTGTATATGCATACGTTAGACGCATTGTGTTCGTCAATTGTAAACCAATCTTGTTGATTCTTTTTTAGTAAATAGTTGTAAGGTTGGCGCCACATATTTTTTGGTAAAAAATACTAAGTTTTTAATGTAACTATTTAGACGACATTTAGATTGTGATATTCATTATTCCACTTACCATTTCCATTACAGTCTACATGGGCCTTCGCTCACAAACGGCATGGCATGGCCCAGCGCGGCGACAAAAGATTTTTTTCGTAGAAAAATGATTTTAGAACTTATTTTAATGAAATTAGCACTAACATTCCTTTATTTCAATACGAATAGACCGAAACGTATTGCACGACACCGCATTTGCCGCGGCACGTCACGGCATTACATACGATGCCGCGGCACGTCGCTGCATCACGTGCAACGCATATGTTACTTCATGTTGTTAAAGGAATGTGACTGCTAAGTAATTGAAACAAGGTTGAATCTAGTCCGTTGCGGCGGAAATTTTAGCAACTCGCGCGAGCACTCGGTACACGAGTGCGTCTTGACTAATTTGGCATGCCGCGGAATGCCACAGGATCCATCGGCAAGACGCGAGATGCCACAGGATCGTTTGGCATACCGAAGTGTGACTCGCCACCCCGTGCCATGCAGGCCCTAAAAGTCCACTGCTGAACGTAGGCCTCCCCACAGATTGTCAAATAGTGGAAACTTTGCCATAGTTGCCACGCTTGGCTGGCGGGTTGGCAACCGCAGTTTTTTATTATTTGAGTTGATATCAGGAAGATTCTGCAGCCAATCACCAGTTTCTATTTCACTTTGTCGCTTCTTACGACACACACGGGACGATATGGGGTAGTGGATATTCTTACATCGCCGTTGCACGGGGTTATACCACTCAAAAGGGTACAAAACTATCTTTAAATAAAAGGAAAAAGCCGACATCAAACAACTAAAATTGATAAATTAATTTCAAATTCTGAACTTGACCTTTAATTCTTCTGAAATTGTCCTAGTACCGACTGCTAAACGTGAAATTGTATTGTTTTTTAGGGTTCCGTGCCTCAAAAGGAAAAAACTGAACCCTTATAGGATCACTTTAACGTCCGTCTGTCTGTCCGTTTATCTCAAGAACGCGTGGAGGTATCAAGCTGAATTTCATATCAAATACTCAAGTCTACCGTCCCTTGGAGCTGTGAAAAAATCAAACTTCTAAGCCAACGCAATCAAAAGATACAGCCGTTTATGCCGCAAATTTTCGACATTCGCAAGGGAATCAAAACCTACAGGGTACTTCCCGTGAACTCAGAATCATAAAATTTGGTAGGAAGCAACGTATTATAGCACAGATAAAGGACAAATTGCGAAAAGCATAAATTTTTAGTTACATCATATAATAAAAATAATTTTAAACTTATATACCTACGGATTTGTTCGGAACCCTCGGTGCGCGAGTCCGACTCGCACTTGGCCGGTTTTTTTCTTATTTAAAGTCGCCTACTAAAAACTTATTTTTCTATTCAGTCAATAGCGGAGATTTAATATGTTCAGCACTGGACTTTATGACTGGCCTTAATGAATGAATTAATTAAAACGGAATATTTAATATTATAGTCGTTAGTTAGTCATAACGCGTGTTATAACTAACGAGCGCATTAAATTAGATTAATTTAATTAATTTGCAAGTAATTTTGTCAAAAGGTAGAATTTGAAGTGTCAAATTTACATTCATAATTGAAGTCAGATTTTGTCATAATAATACAAGCACGTTTTACATTTTAAATGAGCCATCCTTTAATAGTTTTATTCCATAATTTGTTATGCGAATTAAGGTTGCGCAAGGCACGATAAAGTGAGAAGTATTAATAGCAGCCAGGCAGGCAAGGCGCCTAATGTAGTCAAAGAATGCAGGCAACGCGAATTCATTTGAATTCGAATTCTCATTAGGACATGAGGGCAAATGAAGTCTGCTAACTCGAACCGTAAAGTGATAAAGTCTTTTTATTAACCTCCCAAAACTATGAGAAGTATTTTCTTTTTGTGGTATAGCCTATCTGCGAAGTATTGTGGCTGCGACACGAATGCATCAGCTCGACCGGGGAAAGACGAAACTCTAACAGTATTCTGTAGCGTGACACATTGCGTATTTCGTTTTGTAAGTGACGATAACCGATTACTCTATTAACTGGTTACGTGGCATTTGATCGAATTCCTTAGGGGTGACTGCGAATTTGCATTTTGATTCATAATTGGAAAAAGAGCGTGGCGGCGTTGGCGTCGCGCCACATGCGTAAATATATTGAAACCTAATTCGCGCTATCAACGTTCCGAAGTAAAAGCAGTGTACGAGTATATAGAATAGCTTCGAACTACCACTTAGTGCGCCCCCTTTTCCCTAAAGGGGGTCGCTACCGATTCGGCAGAAAGGCCACACAAGCCAATGCCAGTGCCACAGGTAGTGTTCAATGGTAGGCACTTAGGTTTCGCAGTGAGTCCCACATAACCACGTAGCCGGCTGTCGTGGTATGCTTAGAGCATTCACCACCTCCCTTTCTCGCTTCCCGGTGGGTAGCCTCTTGCTTTGGGCGCAAAAAAAACTACCACTTGGAGAGTTGGCCGCTCCCCGGGCAAAAACTAACTTAAAACTAACAGTAGACAAGCGTAATGATTAAAACATTAATTAAAAACCAGACTACATTAAAAGTTAACCGAGTAAAAAACCTTTCTGTCCCTTATTTTGTATTTGCAAATAACTTCCACAACAAGACAAATCTAACGACACGTCATAATATGTTATAATTCATCAAGCTTTTTAGGCTACAGAGCGTGTCAAAGATATAGGCTTACATAAATACTATCGAAATACAGTACCCTCCATCTTTTCGACTAAATACCAAATGCTATTCCCGTATGGAATTTTTAAAATAATGGTAAAAGTTTATGCTAACATAAATGTATTTTTATTTTTTTAAGTAGTGCCCTATTTGCATTCTTTTAAATTAAGTTTGTGCCTATTCTTAGACCAACCCTAAATAGAAGCGTTTTACCGGAAATAAAACGCATATTAAAATACTTACCTCACTGGAAGCTTTACATAGAGATAGCATTTCCGGTTCCGTCGTTTTTTATCAGTTTTCTTACTTTTATCGATGTGATATCCGGTCCAGCGGCGTCACCTGGTGATCGGGGTCGACATTTTTAGTTCATAAAATGTGTAGCACCGATTTTTACTCATTGGCTCAATTTTCACCAGGCAGAAATCAAATTAAAGCTTCCAGTGAGGTAAGTATTTTAATATGCGTTTTATTTCAGGTAAAACGCTTCTATTAAATCACTTGACCGTCACTGGAAGCTTTACATTGAGACCTGTTTGTTGTCGCCTGGTGACGCCATTTGTTTAAAAAACGCCAATGTGATAATAGTACATATTAATAATTACACAATGTATAATTATTCATAATAATTTATTAGATTTAAGATATTTGAATTAACTTTAACATACCGTACTAATAATATTAATTGTACAAGATTAATATAATTATATTATAATCAATTTAAGGGAATGAAACAATTTGAAACATTTGTCGGATCACTACAGTTAATCACTTCTCTTCTGTAATATTTTTTAAAAGTATTAGCTGATTGCCAATTACCACGGGCCAAAATTTTGTCCAGTGGATGATTGTCGTACCAACTTTTTGAAGCTACTGCAGATCGGATGCTTCCTGGTGTTGCAGAAATGCCAGCTTCCTTGAAAATAGTTTTTACCCAGCCCGCAATGACTGTACGTGAAGCGGGCTTAGCTGCACCTCTAAGTGTAATAAATAGGTTAGAAGATCGTGCAGAACTGCGTCTTTCATTTAATAATGTTATAGTTTGTTTGTTTTTTTTTTTTTTTTTTTTATAGGAGAGGGGGCAAACGAGCATGCGGCTCACCTGATGGTAAGTGACTACCGCCGCCCATGAACAACCGCAACACCAGGGGAATTGCAGATGCGTTGCCGGCCTTTTAAAAAGGAGTAGGCTCTTTTCTTGAAGGTCCCTAAGTCGTATCGGTCCGGAAAAATCCCTGGTGGTAAACTATTCCACAAGGAAGTTGTGCGAGGAAGAAAACATCTTCTAAATCGCACAGTGGTGGACCGCCAATCATCCAGATGGTGTGGATGGTATCGGGAGTTCTGCCGCGATGTGCGTTCGTGAAATTTGGCGGCTGGGATTAATCCGAACAATTCCTCAGAGCACTCCCCATGGTAGATGCGAAAGAAAATGCAAAGAGATGCAACATCTCTTCGCAGTGCCAATGAATCGAGCCGATCGGAAAGGGCTCGGTCGTCGACGATTGTTCTATCCAGAACAGAGGATTTAGGTTGCAATGAGTATTATTTGCAACAAATTTCCACCCAGATTGTCTATAATCACTTCGATCAGTTTTTGAGCCAAATTCAGGCCAAAATATTTTACTATCTTCAGACTTTATGCAGTGATTAGGATCTACTCTTAGTAATGTTAAATCATGTAAACGTCTACCCGAGTATATAAGTAATAAAATTGCGGTATGTCTAGATGTTTGAAAAATATTCTTGGAATCTACTTTGTAGGCGGTCAAAAATGAAATTAATTCACTAACATTCCAAATAGGTGGTTTAGACTGTTTCGGATTTTTCAGAGAAATTGATTTAAGTACATGCTTAACGAGAACATGTGAGCTTAGATGTGTTGAATTTTCAACGTTACACAGAGTAGCAACTACAGACTTATGTAAAAGTATTGTATTGTATGTCAAGCCATGGATACAAATCTGATAAAAATTGCGCTAGTTGTGAACCCGTGGGGTTTTTAGGGTCAACCTTTTTGTTACAAGACCACGTTGTTGTCCGTATGCACGCGCATTGGCATATCCACTTCATTAAAAGTATATAGAGTTCCACGCGATGGAGCTGATGGTTTTCGTGTGCGTCGTCCCCGCGAGGGACGGTGGTTATATTGATTTGACTTAGCTTGAGAAAAGCATCAGTTTTTGGTGGCCAAAACGCTTTGCGCACCCCGCCAGATTTTTCCAACATAGATGTGAAACGTTCAGGTTCAAATAAATAAAAAGGTGTAGGAGGTATTCTGTTTAACGACGTTTTCAACAAGGGATCTCGAGCTTGGCTGGTTATCGTTTCACGGCGCATTTCAATAACTTCGGCACGATGGCCGCAAATTAACTGTAATAAGTCTGAAGAGATTTTATGAAACTCCCCTTTTTGAAATATCTCTTCCACCTTAAGACTTAAGTTATCATTTGTAATTTCAGTGTTTTTAGCCCATGAAAGAAGATTACGGAAACCATCTTGTAATGCTTCTTTTTGCTTTAATATGCCGTAAGTTATAGCTGCATATGCTTTATCGGCATAAGACAAATAACGTAATGTGTCATATATTTTAACCTCTTCATTTGTTTCCAAGTCAATGAAACCTGGAGTATGGTTATATAGCTTCTGTGTATCAGCGTACCTTACTTCTGACCATGAGGTACTGTTGAAGCGCTGAACGTCATTTAACATTTTTTAAAAAGTTATCTGGCGTTTTCAAAACGGGAGATTCCTTCAATTTCGTTTCGATATTAAAAATGAAGTTATCGTTTGAATTTTCTTTGTGAACATCTGAATATTGTTCATGAGTACCCGTAAGATCACAATAAAGGTCTCCACTGACCCCAGAAAAATTTGATTCATCGTCACGATATGTTTTATCATAGTTATTAGATGTGATGACATGTTTCCGAAGTTCGCCAATTTCTTTCAATAGTTTATCTATCGTATGACTAGAGTGTCGAACACGTTTATTTTTCTTACGCCGCCGATGACATTGAGATCGCTTACCTCGTTTATTATTTGAAGAGGGTGAACTAGAGGAACTGCTACTAGTCTAACTACTGCTGCTGCTTCGATACCTTTTACGAGCCTCTCCACTTGGACCAGCCACAGGCTCGGTAGCGATGGGAACCGAAGTATCAAAATTATCCATTACTGTAATGAAGTTACGTACTATAAATTCATAAAGTCAACTATTTTCATATTAAAATATTTCATCAATTTGTTCAAACCAACAATAATTAATTGTGGGTAGTTTAACTTTTTATGCTAGAATTATTAAACAGTGTACAAATTCAAATATTTACATTAAAATATTTCATCAATTATTCCAACCAACAATAATTAAATGTAGGTAGTTTAACTTTTATACCACAATTATTAACAATGTACAAATTAAAGTATTTACATTAAAATATTTCATCAATTACACAAACCAACAATAATTAGGTAAATGGAGGTACTTTAACTTTTTATACTAGAATTTTTATAATGTACAAATATAACTCGTACTTAAGGTAAATATAGCTAATGATTCGAACGGAAAATTCCGTTTAAAAAGAAAGTTAACGTGTTAAGTACCTTACCGGTGGTTAAGTCGTATCCACAATTTCTCGGGATTCAACACTTTTAACTATTAACACAATCAATTTAAATATATTTTACTTTATGAACGTTGATTGTCGCAAGGACAGAGCCGCTTGCGCACAAGTTACTTCGACGGAGAACGAAACGCCAATGAGTAAAAATCGGTGCTACACATTTTATGAACTAAAAATGTCGACCCCGATCACCAGGTGACGCCACTGGACCGGATACACATCGATAAAAGTAAGAAAACTGATAAAAAACGACGGAACCGGAAATGCTATCTCTATGTAAAGCTTCCAGTGACGGTCAAGTGATTTAATACTTGTATTCGAGGTAAGCTTGTGTCATGAATACACACCTATAACCAGAAGTCAAAAGTTTTGAATTCTAGAAAATGTTTTAGTAATAAACATATGTACATGAAAACATAACACTGCTTGCTAGCATAGAACATTTTATGTACATTTAACTATAGTTAAATGTACATAAAATTTTACTTGTAATGTATTGTATATTGTACTTGTATATTATAATATAGAAGTACAATATACAGTACAAAAGCAGACTTCTATGAATGTTGTTAATTGATATTTGAATAATGAAGCAAAGCACTGAGTTTCATATTCGAAATCCAAATAACATAACGATCAGTAATTTCATTTATTATCACGTTGGTTGGGTTCGAATAAAATAATGTTTTTTTTTTATAGTTTTATTGCGCGTGTTGAGAATTATAGCAAGACATTTTAAGATTTCTGGTAGTGATGAAAGTCGCAATATCGAATATATCTGGCAATAATTTTCTTATTCAAAACCTTTATAAATAAAATCTGCTCGAGCCTATTCTTGAAAAGGGCTTCAACTAAAATCTTTGTATTTCCTCAAAATAGGTAAGACAAACATCTCCAATTAGGACGGGATTACACGGATCCCAAGTTTAAATTAGAATGATTACGAGAGGAACGGTTTTTGAAAACCTTACCATTAAAATTAAGAAATCTTAAAGTTCTTACCGTATACAGTCAATTCTATTATGTTATATTCAATGGTATCAAAGTTAATATAATTTTTTTAGGAAGTTATTTAGGTGAATCCATAAATTAATACGAGAAGGGAATTTTTTTAACCCTTTTTAACCATATTGTGCGAACAGAGGGGTGCCAGATTTGGCATAGTTAAAGATTATATAGAGAAGGCTAAAATTTATAAATAATATGTGTTACAAATACATTAAACTAAACATATATTGCTTACATTCATACTGCTAATGTAAAACATATAATTTTCGCTTGAACTAATTAGTCGTGTACGAGGAATATAATTACAACGCCTAAGTACCACGTATGTTACTACTTTAAGGCCGATATCAAACACTTAATTTTCTGTGGTCAAACAGTCGCACAGAGTAAAGGAGTAGAGATTGTCACCAAAGAATAATAAAATATTGCTAACAAGTATTTACTGACAGATCGACTGAGAATGAGTTTGCATTGCCAACAAAGTGTCATAAAAATGCAAAAAATGCCCAATCTAATGTCAGCAAGTGCGTTGAAAAATTAATTACAAAATTTTAACAGGAATAGCATACGAAGCAGGCAAGTAAAATAAAAGCTAGCTAAAAGGTCTTTATAAAGAATTACAGAATAAATATTCTTGTGAAACGAAAAATTAAAAGAAAACACAGTACGTTTACATTTATAGCTGCCCGTCGATATAGGTTTACATTAATATTCGTGTATTATTTAGATATTATATCACATTATTATAACAAAGTATAAAAAGTTTTCCACTCTATTAAATAAGAAGTTCAAGAGTCCTTACGTGGTAGAGCCATGCTGCAGCTATATTATGATTGTAGCACGAATGGGTCGGCCCGACCGGGGAAGGACCACGCTCTCACAGAAAACCATCGTAAAATAGCAGCTTAACGCTGCTGTGTTTCGTATGGTGAGTGTAGAGAACCGGAGACCCTTTTTACTGGCAAAGAGGCATTCCATCTTAGTCCTCACGGGTGACAACGCATCTGCATCTTGAGTCTTTATTGAGGACAGATGTAGATGTCTATGGGTCACAGTAACCACTTACCATCAGGTGGACTATGTGCTCGTTTGTCACCTGATCCTATAAAAAAAAATTATAATGATGTGTGTTTAGTTCCGTCGACAACGAGATATAATCCAGGGGGTATCCACAGTAATTGCAATACATTCCGGAGAATGTGCACAGTAATTGCAGTACTTATGTAATCTGTAATCAGATAACAAGGCGCTCGGCCAGTTCCCACCGCTTTGTTATCAATTCACGCATTCAAACTGCCTTTCGTATTGCGTACAACGAAAAGGTGGAATAATTTGCCAACATCTGTCAGATGCGGTTGTCTTTAAGGTAGGAGTGAATAAAATACGTCAATGCGTTTTCCCATCTTTGGCTCCATCACCCTAATACTTTCAGCAGGGCTAGCACAGACGGGAGACAATTTTA